AGCTGTTTGGCGCAATTGAATGCGAGTTGCGGTATTGTGCGCCCGAATCGAACCCCGCTAGATCAATTCGTCCGGATGCTCTTTTTTCATTCCGCGCGTGTATCGCGCCGCGTCGATCGATCGGCCTTCGTGACGTCGCCGTCGCCGAGGAGGACACCGCTGGCTTATTAATTCTCTCCGTAACGTGTATATTGGGATGTCCGACTGAGATCTCGACGGACAATAATATCCTAATTTTTATTCAGATACTCGTAGGACGTATGTCCTAAAGGACGAAAATTCTATAGTTTTCTTTAACTAATTTGACATTATTATACAAGTTTCTTTATAGAAATCCGAAATCGGAGGACAATTACAACAGCGCGCATTTCCCATCGGAAAACTTTATAAGGCCGCGGTCGCGCGGAATCTCTCAAAAATCCGTTCAATCCAATCTCGGATCTATGGCCGAGCTTCGAAGGCTCGCGCTTGTCCGTCGTGGAAAAAAAATAGAATGCGAGACAATTTGCACGGGCGGTGGGTATTTTGGAAAATCCAGTCGGGATCCACCCGGTATATCCACTTCTCCCGATTCGCCCGTAAAGTAATGATTTCAATTTCGCGAGATCGCTGCCACCAGCTACCGAGGGTGTCACGCCACCGCCCTCCTCTCCGCCGCTCACGCTCGAAGATTCGGATTAAGCGACTAAGGAAATTCAATATCAGTAGCTGAGATGGGCACATAAAATTACTGACTGCCACTTCGCCTTAATTTGCGTAGTAAAGTTGCCCCGCTTCGGCGAGCAACCCATCCCCTCCTCGTTTCGCCTCCCCTGTCTCTCACCCTTCCGCCTCTGCCGTGACTCGCGCTTTCGTGTAAAACTAAGGGATTATGATTCGGTTATTGGCTCCCGGCGCATTTTAGTGCGTAATTGGATGAAATTTGCAGCACCACTGCGATGTCGCCTCGCTGTTTCTTCTTTCCTCCCTCCGTCCCTCCCTCTCTTTCTCTCCTTTTCCAACTCTGCCTCCCTAACGATATGAAATACGAGCACCATATTGCGAATCGCGAGAGGCAGGCTCGTTTCTTAGCCTCGACGACGTTCATTCTGGTAGTTTCGCTGTTGTAAGTTGGAATTTATTAATCAAAGAGGTGGCCAGAGAAAGAGAGAGAAAGAAAGACGGGAGACAGGAAGACGGAAGAACGTGACGTATGGCTGAATAAATGGGTCCTAGAATATTTTATAACAGCGGGAAAAATTGCAATTAGAAATTATCATCCTTTTTCGTCTCGTTAAATCGCTATTAAAAAGCACAATGGTTATTATTATCAATGACTAGGCATAACGGGCCGAGTGAAGCGGAACTCCCGCAAAGGCATTCCAAAGAAATCGAGTCGCGTAAGTAGCCTAATCGATCGGAGCGCCTTGGGACGACAGGCGACCCTTCTGCGTCCCAGGACACGATCTTCAGCCCTGTAGAATCCACCGAGCAAATTTATGGCGAGGCACTCGGCGTGTGAAACACGACAGCATAAACGTAGCCGCGTATGAAATTGCGGCGATTGAAACCGTACTCGCGGGGGTGATGCGAGGGACGCGCAGTCTGAATTACAACGACCCTACGTAAACACACCCTACCTTCTCCCCCTCCTACCAGCGTTCCTTTTAACGACAGGAAGAATAGTATCAAACTAACCAACTTTATTTTAGTCGCTTTATTTTCGAAGACAAAAAATTTATTACGAGAAACTTGACACGATGACTCTCATTAAACCTCTTCGAACTTCTGTGAGCGCATCCGGTACATAGACAGGTTTGAAAATTTATGAACCGTTCTGAGAAGGTCTGCGCGTACTCTCGTTTGAACTAGATAAGTGGGAAGTAGGTAAATACTGAAGACAGATACGTGTAATCTTCGACGCGCTTTCGCGCCTGTCTTTAACTTGACCATCGTTTTAAAATTCTATTGGCAAACGTTTCAAATTTGTTCATTAAAAAATGCTTTGTTTAATATAAATATGCTCTTTAGAATATTACGCGAGTGACCTGCAAGATGTTGAAGGCACGAGCGCATCTTCCCCTCGAAAGCCAGCGATAGTTACCACAGGAAAATTAAATTGGCTTTTGGGGAAACAAGGGCGTGATAAATCCGAAAAAATATGTGTTTGACAGATATTGCCCGTCTCACCGTTCGTTTCTCTGTTTTCCAATAGCGGCAGCCTGTACACCGGCTCCCTCCTTCCCTCTCTACCATTTCCAGTTTCTTGGGATGAAAACCCGGCCTTTGTAAACCCTCATCTCTGTTTTCGGCCTCCACTGTACTTTCCTTTCTTCTCCCGCAGTTATAATTTAATTTATTATTTTGCGGAACGACACGTTTTCTTTTCATCTGCAACTATTACAACGTATGTTATACTTCTTAATGCTTTCAGGGAGTTTCACACCAGAGACTACATGGTAAAATCCTTTTTACATTCTTGCATTTTGTTATCTTTTATCTTTCTTACAATAAAATATGAAGGCAACTATCCTTCGTTTTCGTCGAATATGTGGCCTCTTTTTTAAATTCGAGCACAGAGCCAATATGTTTATATGCTCGAGGGCGAAATAAATATTCTTGTTCTACCTGTCTTTTTTTTTCTCTTACTATCCCTGCATTTCTATCTCATTCACATTTCTCTATTTCTTCTCATCTCTCTCTTTCTCTCTCTTTCTCTCTCTCTTTCTATCTTCACGCGAAATTACCATACTTTGAGGTAACAGCTGTCGCAGCCACCGCCAGAATCTGATAAACTGATAGTAGCGACACACGCTGGCGACACCGTCTCCCTTTTGAGTCCTCGAGTCAGCTTTGAAGGTATTAGATACCGTGATTGTGTGATTTTTATTCCAAAAACGTACAGCACGAGCAATATGCAATGGTGATTTCACCGATTAGCTTTACTCTCGTAACGTAGCGCGAGATTTTTGCGAGGGTCTCTTCCCCTCCCGCTTTTCTCGAATAACAGTTCAATTCGGACGCAGCTGCCGCCGCTAATGCGCTATTTTCCGTTCCGCAAGTGCGCCGCTCCGGTGATGCAGTCTCGCGATGCACACATCGTTAGGGAGAGGGAGGGAGAGGGGGTGAGGCAAAATCCTTCCATCGCTTATACGTCACCTCGTCTCGAGTTCGCGTGCTCTCTGTGATAGTAACCCAATGATACCTACATCCACAAACGGGATATTGGAAACGAGATTTTTTTTTTTAATAATTCGACAGCGATGATTTGGTAAAAAATCAATCTTTCGACGATCTCGTTGAACTCGAATCCCGAATTTGATTCGAGATTCCGAATCTGATCTTCGACATTTACTCGAAAGTTAGCCGACTTACATTCTAGTTCGCCGATGCGGGCATGGAGAGTGTTATTCGCGACGATGAGGGAAGATCGAGATCGCGAGGCACACTGGGAAGTCCAGCAAGTCGAAGCGATTAACGAGCGTCACATTCGTCAAACTGTGACCAGCGTCAAGAGCCACTGGGTGATACGTGTAACGAGCTAATTAACTTAATTTATCGCCATTTGACGGAGATCCAATCGCAGATGCGCGCCACGTTAATTGTACGTCCATTAGCTGCCGATACGATCGTATATACCGTACCGTCCCCGTACTCTCTAACGATCGCTTTACAGCTCGTTTCGTCGATAGCTCCCATGTTCGTCGAAAACCGTCCCGTTCTTCGCTTCTCTCAGTACCCCGCCCTCTTCTCTCTTTTTCCCCACTGTCCCTCTTGCCTTTCTCTCTTACTCTTCTCCCCATCTTTCTTAGTTTTTTCTCTATATTTTTCCAAGCATTTGTTCTTTTTGCTACTTCCTTTTAGTTAAAATATAATATACAATTATAGTAAACATAGTAAGTTAAGTTGAGACTAATGTTAACTAATCAGATAACGTCTAATTTCTAATTAGATGCAGCTCTATTTGTATGAAATAAAAAATTTCTGCTCGTTTACGAAAAATACTGACGCAATCAAACGTCAATAATCTTTAACCAAAATTTTTCTAGTGTAGGTATATCTGCTCGCATAGGATGTCGTTTTGCATTAATCGAAAGCATTTATTAGTCAGTCAGTTCCTCGATTTATCGGTTCAAACCATTGCTCTATATTCGACTGTGTAAATATTAACGAGCTTTACTTATTAACGCAGAACTTTTCCAAGCGGATTTTCGGCGACTTAAACAAAACAGGGTCAATAAACACGGGACGACGAGTTGCGCGTTGCCTCGGGTATAACAATTTATTTATTCATTAACGGTTCATCAATTTTTACACTTCGATAAAAGGACCGTGTTTGAAAATAAAATTAATATTTGCACACCTATCCGTTCACTATCCTTTGTTCACTGCGACATACAAAGAAAACCACATTACAAAATTAAATAAAAATAGGATTACTATTCGTGTTATTTATTAGTGTAGCAGTTATTTTAATGAATAAGATATAATCGGCAAGATGAGAACTAATGTAACGGTAGTAATTCGTGAAATAGGCTGACAAAATGTTTTACACAACGTTTTACAACGAATTAACTTCTAATACAACCTATTCTTGAAAACTAATATCTTTACTGACCGTCCTGTCCGGATGTGTTTTCTTGCCTGGGAATGGGCCAAATCTCAGAACTGGTCAAAAACTGTTAATGTAACGGTCACAACCTATTTTGTTTATAATAGGACGATCTTTACCTGAAAGAAGCCGTCGAAAACGGTCGTCGTTAATTTCAGATGGACGGGTCTTTTTCCTGTTTTTCCTCAATTCGGCCGAAGGTATCCGACACCTTCGTATTTATGTCTTTTCGCAAGGGGACACTTACATGTGGACGGAAAGCGGCTTATCGTGTCAATTGATTTTGGAACATTTAACATGTGCTCTTAACACACGTCCTCGAGACAACATGATCCGATGTGCATCTTGCAAACCATTTACTTAAAGAATTAAAGCTAATTCTCAGAATGTTCGAATTTTATGTTTTTAGCCAAGCCGTTTCTCGAAAATTTGGGACGTCGTGTTTCTCTCTGATCGCGATACGCACGTGGTCCGAGAAAACGAGAGCTTCTCGTGGCTTCGCGGTCTCTAAGGGGACTTGGATGATAAGGGATGGCGAAGCGACGGGGAAAGGAGAGCAAGAGGCGCCGGGGAGACACCCGCAATTTCGTGATTGCTTTTCAGACGACATTTTGTACACTCATGGACAGCAGCAACCAACTCATTACGGTAATGACACGTGTGCATCAATTCGCATTAATATTCTAATGGACACGTGGGAGGGGGTGGCAGGGTGGTGAGTCGATGTGAGTGGCACACAAACAAGCGCAGCGATGAGTCCCGCGTACTCATGTGGCGCGGGATCGCGACGGAAGATGCGCCAGAAAGAAAGCAACGAGACGGCGGGCGCGTAGAAGGATCGTATGCCGTCTCTGGTAAATAACGCCAATTAATTAACTCTTTGCGCCCCGGCTATAATTGGACCCCTCGACTCGGCGGCCATCTTCGCACGGCGGGTTGCAACAAATTAGACATTCGAGACGTTAGCCACATGAATCCCCTTCAACCGTGAGTCACTACTCACTCGATAAAAATTAACGCACTCCGAAATCGTTCCCTCTCAAATACGTTCAACGCGACCGCGTGCCGATTGTCCGCTCAGACGAAGGAAGGATCGCTGACCGACGTCCGCAACATCCTGCGTCGCCCTTCACGCGCGCAGCCGCGTTTCGCTGCCTTTAACGCAGCTCGTTAACTCGACATAATGATCATTCGATTATGGGCATCGCGTATAATTCAATAACGATCCGTGCGCGTAACGCCGCGACGTCATCGTCATGGCTGGCCGGCCCGCCGCCAGCCCGCCGCCCCGGCCCGGTCGGTCCGGACGGTCGGTATGCCGATGACACTCGTCCCGCGTAATCGGTCATTACGCTCGATGACGCGCGCGTTTTGCGCGGGCCCACCACGCGCTAACTTCGTTAACGTTCGAAACGAGATTCCCGCTGCGTTAGCGCCGTCACGACGACTCGCTCTCGCGAGTCCCCGCCTGAGTTGGCATCCTCCAGGATATTTCCCTGGCAACAATCTCTATCTGGAGAAATCACGAGCGGAAATTTAAGATTATATCATTTTGGGGAGATTACATCATTCTCCACTCAATATACATGTCGTCGTGTTGAAAAAGTCAATCTTTATATCTATGAGAAGCAGATTATGTTTGGTGCATTTTTTCTAAATATAGAATAAGAGGAAAAAGAAAGAGATATCTTATCAATGAAGGCGTGGCAGATTGTCGGTGTTGTCGTCAATATATCATTTATCAGCGTGAGAGCGGAGAAGGGTTGGAAAAATGTAGACAAGGATCAGGATAAGCCAATTTTCCAAGCAATTTCTTATCACCCACTGCTCCTTCTTGATTTAACGAGCATAAATGATGCACAATTACGTTCGTTAGATTACTCCATGGAGGCAAGCTCAAAATAAACATGAACCAGACAAACTGTACTTAAGTTCGTGTATGATTTGACAATCTAAAAATATACCGTTACTCCACGTGGCCGAAAATCTTTTAGAAATCGTATATGAGAACGTAAACGCCTATAAGCGTCTAGAAACGGGAGGGAAAAAAATTTGGGTTGCAGGTGGTTAAGCGCTCGGTAATGCGATATCGCTATTAGAGGTCTTACGTTGATCCCACTTTCGGCCGACGAAAGTGAATCCTGAAGACCGCAAAGATTCCCCGTCATCATCGACACCTTAATAACTATCACTGCTTATAGACGCTCTTTCGTTTACTCGGGTGTGTCTCCATACACGCGCACGCACACGAACGCAACGCGTACAAACACGTGCACACCGTTGCTCTCGAAAGATATTCGCCAGTCATCGCCGGCAACGAGCCGAAAACGCGGCAGGCTTCTTGTTTGCCTATTTCCCCCCGGTAAGTTTGCCTTTCCATTCTTCGTCCTTCCTTTCACTCGTCATCTATCACTAATTTCAATTAGTATAAAGACGAGCTAAGAGGTGAGTAAGCTGCGCTCTCACGTGTTTCGATCGTTCGGACCGCGTATCATTTCGTAGGCGGAATTGTCCTTTTATTTTCCGCTGTGTCTTCACCGAGATGTGTGGCGTATATCGCGGGAGATTACGTAAACTACGGCTGCTACAACACCTACGTACACGCTAACAATGAGATTATCCTAGGTTATCCCGTCGGAAGCTGTAACCAAGACACGACAAACCTATTTCGGGATCCTCGAAACCGCCCGAGTCCGCTACATAACTTTAAAAGCAGTATACATGCGTCCAAATTACGAAGCGGATACGTGATCTTTTTCACGTGAAGGCACGTGTCTCCAAAGTACACGGATACTTCTCCAATATCATGCACGACCAATGCTCGGACGCGAGTTTATCTCATTAAACTTCGCGCGAGATCGCGATGAAAGCGGCGCGAAACGCTCGACGCGCGCAGATTTCTCTCTCCTCGGTTTCCTTCGATCTCGATCGTTCCTCCTTGGGAACTCAGGTGCATCGCGCGAATACACGGATTATCAGCGACTCGGGTTAAATTTATTTAACCCGATTTTTATTGGAATTTCTTTCGGGCATGTTAACGGTCGTTGTTGTCATCATCGTTAATTCCGCGTTACAGTATTATGTATCAGCGATTGCCGACACTTTACAGGCGCGTTCTCATATACACGCAGGAACTCTCGAGAGGAACACGTGGACGTGGGAGAGCCGGACACGCCAGATGCGGCGCGCCCACGCGGTGAAAGTAGCGATAATTGATTCCGTGCTCTTAAGATATCTCACGAAGATCCTGCGACCGAGATTAACCGAGAGAGAATCGTCCAGGTATAGGTCCGCTTCCTCGACGGGTACCGAATCGCACGAATGTGTGTAAACGCTTGTTTATTCGACGACGGCGTAAATTAAAAAAATATAAAAACCGTGTGTCGAAGGTGAGAGGAGGATTAACACGTCGTTTACGAATGGTGACCGATTGGATAAGTACCGTGGGTGGAATCGTGACATGCGACATGCGGTGAGACAGAGGAAGAAGGAAAGGCACATAAATATTTCCAGGTATATCTGTTATTACTGTCGCCGATATTGTCATAACGATGGAAAAGGAATTCTGTATGTAATGGTAAATTCTGGTTTCATAGACCAAGTTTTTTCCCCATCGGGATTTGCTTTAAAACACGTGATAAAACGCGCTTTATACACTGTTGGCGATAGTACATAAACGTATGAAATATCGAGCTTCGAAAAATATTGCACCATCGAGAGTAACGGTTGGTACGTTTAGGATATTGTGGATTCGAGCAGAAAGAGAAAGGGACAGAAGATGAAGCTATTTACGAGTGAAATAATATAACCAGTAGAAAGATTCATTTCCTCTCTCTCTCTCTCTCTCTCTCTCTCTCTCTCTCTTTCTCTCTCCCTCTCTGATCCTATATTTCTATTGATTGCAATAAACTTGAACAAACTAATTAAGTCAATTCCAATTGCTCGATCGATTTATGGCCACGAAATATAGATATACAATAATGTTTAGCAATAATTAACAATAAGGAAAGTGATTCCGCTATCAAGCACACGTCAGTCAATGCTTTTATTAAGACGCATTAGCCTGTTTGCTGCAGCACTCGGCGCCGCGTGTCCTGCAGCGGAGAAATACGGTTACGGAGAAGGGTGTGGGATGGCGATGGCCCGCTATGAGATGCCGTAATGATACCATTCGCTGCGGCCCGCTGTTAGTATTTGACATTACGGCACGATAATGCAGCTGTACGTCCTCGTAGGCAAATGGATCTTGACGAGGAAGCAGCCAGCCTGTCATCTGATAAACGTATTGCGTATGGTCACTGTGCGTGACGAAACCGTGTGCTCCATTGTTATGCGCGATAATTCATAAATAAATGATGAAAGAAGATTAGACGAGGCGCTTTTTCAGTGGTTCGTAAAAGATAATACGGAACTTGGGTAACTCACGAATTTACGTTACAAATGTGCCCGTTACTCCGATCTCGAATACGATCTTTCGCGTCCCGCACGAGAATCGTCGTGGCGTCGCGTCGTGTCGGGTGAATGTGCTAGCTAGCGGAGAGCTGTTTTCGTTAAGAAGGGATGTGCGTGAGCGGTAGCGGGCAGGGCTGGTAGTGTATCCAAGGCCGATAATCCCTCCGGTGTTTTTCTTTTCCTCCTTCGTCCCCGACCCACTTACCCCGGCATCGTAGACCCCCAACCCTCTCTACCCGTTTTATCGGGTGTCGCCGCGGGTTATCGTCGTGGTTGCTGCCAGGAAGGATGAGATAGGAGGGGGAGAGGGGTGGTGCCAGAGGGGTGTGAGGCCGCTGCCACCTGTTGGCGGGACAACGTCTTAGCCCTCCTTGCTGCTCCTCGCAGACGTTCTTCTCCACCTTCTGCCCCCCCCCCTCCATCCCTTCCTTCGCTTTCCTCTCCAGATCGCGCTTCACTCCCTCGATTTCTCCCTTTTTTCCTCGTACAACTAGTCGCCGCGGGACGGGGGATGCGTTTTTCCACGCGAGCCGTGGGATGGATTTTAACCCTCCCGTTTAGAACACGGAGTCGAGCTTGGCGGAATTAATTCCGCTTGAGGCGCACGCGCGTGTTCCTGTCGCTTGAGAGAGGTATGCAAAATGTTTTCTAAAAGGATTTATAGTAAATGAGAAGTTGGATGCAACATTATTGAATACAACTGGAACATCCCGTAATAATTACAATATGTCTATTATGATTGACATCGAAAAAAATATATAGCCTCTTTTTATAACAAATTTGTGATATTCTGTGTCCATTTAAAAGTACTCAACTATTTCGAGAAATGCATTCACGAAGAATCACGGTGTACGGATCGAAAGCTTCCTTAAATGCAACTCAGAAATCGAAAAACTTTTGAACAGAAGCGCGTACAAAGCCATCGGACTAAACAAACAATAAATTTCAACGAGCAGAGCGAGAGTTTTCGATTTCTCCACTTCGGAGGTCTCCTTTTAGCGGAGGACAAAGGGTCGTTTGTTGGGCCCAACCTTACAAAGGGCCCCATTGGTCCCGTGCACTCCAGCACGACAAGGGCTACGAGATTTCTTTCTCTCCGCCTTACTAAGCGTTTACGTATGGCATTCCTCAGTTTGTTGAATGTAATAATATAACCACATTTGTTTCATAAAAAATATTACTGTGTATACTATTGC